TTTTTTTTTTGTTTCTTCAAACAAATGATACGGATCAATGGATCAGGTAAAAAATCACGTCACTCACTTACTCACTCACTCACTCTCGATCAAATATCAATTGAAATTTTTTTTGGTCGAAATTAGATCAAATTAGATCAATATAACAAAACATAATAATGATGGTGGTTCAATTTCAACTTTTAGTTAGGTCGCACACGAGTACAACAAAATATTTTGTCAATCTAAAGATTGGGTGTCAAAATGAACATGTGTGACATGTGAACAAAAAAAAGTGGTGGAAACAAAAACCGTTTGATTGACAAACGAATAACTTTCTCATCGACAATTTTGTCCAGCCAAAAAAAACAAACAAAAAAGACTTCATTAAATCAATTCACACACACGATGATGATCTTAACCAACCAACCAACCAACCAGCCAACCAAACAAAACAAACCAATCGACCAGCAACAAGTGAAAATGATCAGTACAAAACTTTCGTTTGAAAAAAACCCCAGTTCACAATGGTTCCCATAGATAAAGATTATTATTAGCGATTGATTTCAGTTTGAAAAGGCGTTGGTCACAATCCACACATACCGAAAACAACGAAAATTTCCATTTGCATTCAGCGAAAAACGAAAAGAAAGAAAAATTTTTGTTATGAAATTCAGCCACCACCACCACCACCATCATCACTACCAACCACCACATTTCGAAAATACAGGAAATACAAATCTTTTGACCCGACCGATCATGTTTTTCCGCGTATTTGAATTTGCAACTTTTTTTTTTATTATAAATGTCACGATCCAAGGTGTGTTGGTGTTTGGTTGGCGGTGGTTGTGGTTGATGATATGATATGATAATATATAAGTCACACCAATATCGTGACTTTCAAAAAAACAACAACAAAATTAAAATAAACATCAACCATCAAACATGAAACAAAGATGACAATCAGACCTCGATAAACTAAAAAAACAAAAGCATCTGGACTATGACAATAGGTTTGGTTAAATACAGGTGGAAAAAAAAGATTGGCATCAATTCTCAATACAAGTGGTTGATTCAAATACACCCTATTCAATTTTCTGTTTTGTTTGTAGTGTGGAATATGTTAAGTTAACCACACCTCATTCATGATAGAACAAACAAAGCATAGATCTAATCTGATTAATGAAGGAACAAAAAAATTTTTTCCAAAAACAATATGTTTGAATATTGAAAGTCAATGTAGAAACTCTTAAAATAAATTTTTTGATGGCCATTTTTTGATCAAACAATAATCTATTGCCGATTGATCGATTCGATTAAACAGTGATTAACGATGTGGCACCCACATATGTGTGTGTTGTGGTTTTTGGATGTGTGATCACGAACCATGAAAATCCGAAACAACATTATTCGGTCAATTGAATTGAAATAGTGATCGAAACTTGAATTTTTTTTTGTTTTTGTGGTAATTCAAAGATAATCGTGACCTTGAACCAAAGAGAGAGAGAGAAAGACTATAATTTATGGATCGGGTTGGTGATGGTCATGGCGTGTCATGCATCCCATAATAACTATCATTATTATTATCATCTTTGAATGGCCTATTTCTTTCGCATAATAATCTTCAAACACACTTATTTGACCAAAACTAAACAAAAATAACCTAATCACAACCATCACCGTTATTTATTTTTGGTATTTACACACGACGATATGGATTTCCATCATCATCATCATCAAATCATAAATTATCCTCATTCTATCAATCAATCATACAGATCAGTCAGTCAGTCAGTCAGTCAAATATATAAATCATCGATTTTTGATGTGGATATAAACTTACCATCATTGGAATTATCACCAAAATCGGTCATCATCATCATCAAATCATCGGGTGAACGAGAAACATCATCATAGTAGCTGCTACTGCTGTTACCACAATGTTCACCACCATCATTATNATTATCCAAATCTTCTTCATGTATAATTTCGGTAATTATATGACTAGCTGATCTTGAACGATTTAAACTACTACCAGCACCACCACCTGATGATACTGTTCCTGAAACATCAGATAATGAAATTGATGCTGCTGATGAACGTTTCATACGAAAATGAACATGTTTTTTTCCTTTCAATGAAGAAGAATCTTCCATAACATCATCATTATTGATGTTATTGATATTATCATCAACATTGTTGTTGTTGTTGACAGTTGAAACAATTTCCGTCAATGATGATGAAAAATTTGTCTTTTTCAATATAGATTTTACACCTTGATTTAAACGTTCTTTTAATTCATTTTCAAATGAACGATTATTATCTTGTTGACGATTATTGGATTGTTTTCCGTTTGTTGGATTTTCATTTTTTTGATTTTTTGTCAATGTTGTTGTAGAACAATTCGTCGTTGACAATGACGTCGATGGTGTAGTTAAAAATTCAGGCGGAGGTGGTGGTGGTGGCGGCGGAGGTAGAGCAGATGGTGGACATGGTGGTGGTGTATTCTTTGGACGTTGTAATGAATTTATTGATGGTGAATTTTTACGTTCGAAATTGATCTTCTTATCATCTTCGTTGGTTAGAATTTCGGTGGATTCTTTTGGATGATTTTCCAAATTGATTTGACCATTATTCTCATCTTGATCATAATCTGGTTCTGGTTCATCAATAATCAAGGGAGAAATACATTGATCAACAACAATCTGATGTTGTCTTGGCGTCGTTGTCGATCGATTCAACGATGAATCAGAATTTGATTGTGAAGTAGAATCATCAAATGACCATGATGATGATAATGAACCACTTGAACGTGTACGTTGTAATGGATTTATTTTTGTTGTTGTTAATGATGGTGGCAGTTTTGATTGATTTAAATTGATAGTTTGATGATGAGGACAATTATTATTATCATCATCAACATTGGCAAATTGTATGGCTGAATAAACTGTTTGACCGGCAATACGAATACTGTTTGTTTTATTGAAAAGATTATTAATTAAACGATTTTTTGTTTTTTGATCTTTACAATCAAGACAAGATGAAATAGCCGTAGTATCGAATGTTTGATTAATTTTTGAATTATCATCGTTGTTGTTTTGCTTGTTTATCCATGACATAGAATGACTAGATTTGACAGTATCCGCTTTATATTTTGTTTTGTTATTGGTACGTTTGGCTATTTTGACTGTAGTAGTATCTTGAAATGATGATTCTTGATTAGAATCATCATCATTGGTCAAAACAAGTTCATATGGATTAACATTACATTCCAATATTGATCGTCGATTTTCGGATTGTTTTCCTTTTTGCGAAATTGTTGTCGCTGCTGCTGATGATGATTGCTGTGATGCAGCAACAATTCTATCCAATGATTTTGATACATTCGATACTAATCGTCGTTCATTGATTGTATGAAATGGTTTTCCCATTGTTTTTGCTAAATTACGTTTTGTTTGAGTTGTGTTGAATTGCGGTTGTTGTTGTTGTTGACTTGAACGCTGACAATCCGCTAATAATGAATCATTCGATATTGAACGAATATTTTGTTGTTGTTGTTTTGAAACATTTGAACATGGTGCAATTAATTGACTATCATCATCATCAAAATAATGATAAGAAGGCGCCATAAATGTTGATCCAGTTAGACCACGACATACACAATGATTCATATTATCTGATGAATGATGTTTCGGTGTATTACCGGCAACATCACGGTTAAATAATTTAGCCAATGAAGGCGGTATTGCCGCTTTTGTAGCTGCTTTTGTTTGCGACGTCGCAGCATTTGGAATTATTGAATTATTTTGAGCATGTCGATTTGATATCGTTGATGTTGTTTTTGTTGATGATTTACGTTTCCAAGTAAAAAGACCATTCAATGGTGATGATTTTGATGTTGATGATGGTGGCTGCTGTTGTTGTTGTTGAATTAATTGTAGTTGCTGCTGCTGCGATGGATGATGATGACCATTATATGAATGTCCATGTATCCTGTTTAATCTGGCCACACGAACCGTATTAAAATGCTGATGATGATGATGAGGATGATGATTATTATATGAATGATGATGATGATGATAAGCAGCAGCAGCAGCAGCTATATGATTATGGCTATGGCCTAAGGTTCCCATCATAATTGGATTCGTATGTAATCGTAATGTTGATTGATTTGTTGTTGATATTGTCGTTGATGATGATGATGTCATTATTATGTGATTATTACGTTGTTCCATTATTAATTAATTAATTAATCAATCAATCAATCACAGAGAGAAGAAGAGAATATTTGTTGTTGTTGTTGTTGTCAATCGACCACTTATTGATCATCATTGATCATGTTTTATCTATATGTATAATCAATGTAGAAAAACAAAAAAAAACAAAAACAGAATTAGATAAAAAACAAAGAAACAAAATATATTTATTTATTTATTTTGTAACTATGAAAACCAAAATAAACAAGGTAAAATCCTTGAACTTGAACAAAAACAATCAACAACAAATCTTAATCTAATTAGAAACAAGAAGGGAAAAATTGAATTGAATCATCAAACAATTCATTTTGTGGATTTAAAAAAAATACTATGGATTATTCAACATCAATCAACATTATTATCATTTTCAAATTGAAAAAAAAGATTTCAAGAAAAAAAACTGAATGTCATTTCAATCTTCTTCCTTCTTTCCATTATCATCTTTCTATCTTTCTTGATATTATTGTATGACGATGATGATGGTCAGTTTTTAGTTCGGGCAAAAAAGCGAAAAAAAAAACGAAAAATGAAATCATTATTCATTTTCATTTCATAAATGCTTTTTTCATTCATTCAATCACATCATTAAATGAATGAATGACAATGGCATAATGTTTTTGGCCAAATATTTTTTCATTATTATTGTTATTGTTATATAAAATTCAATTAACCAAAATGATGATGATGATAATAATAAAATCACGTAGTAGTTTCGTTCGTTTGTTCGTTCGCAGTGGCCAATCTTCCTTCCTTGATTTTTTTTTCATCGTCGTTGTTGTTTGGTCTAAATATCTGTTGATCCTTGAAATTTTTTTTAAAACGATTTTTTTTCAAAGAAAAATGAATGGAAAAAAAATCGTTGATAGCTCAATCGATCATTCATTCATGGCAAAAAATCTCCTAAGAAAGAAGGAGGAAAAAGTGAATATTTTCATTTTTTCGGGGTAATCCAAATCGATCGATTCAATTCAAATTGATCGATCGATCATTGAATATATCAATGACATTATCATCATCATCAACCACGTGTTATGGGAGCGTGAGGCAAAAAGAAACAGAAACTCATAGCGCCGACCTAGACCTCGATGATGATGATGATGATGATACCGAATTGATGATGATTTATTCAAGAAAAAAAAGGAAAACTCTCTATATGAATGAATAACAAGCCTAAACGTGCCTTTTCATTTAACCATATGGTCCTCTCCCTTTCCATCATCATCATCATCATTAGAATCATTGAGAAAATTGAATTCAATTTTTTTCTTTTTCTTGAAAAATATTTTCGTGTTTTCATTTTGTGCCCACACAAACACACACGCAATCCGTTTTTTTCTATTGTTTAAAAAACGAAAAAA